TATTGGCAGCCAGGATTCAACCCTTCCAGAACATTCTTCTGTTTCACGGCAGTCTTCTGTTCTCATAAATAAGCTCTTGGAAGTTTGTCAATAAAATTTTGTTGCTGAATAGTCACAAAGTTCTTTTATTAAGTTTCGGATAAAGAAAATGGTGATCGGAAACGTTACTAACGCCGTTACCTTTTTTTAGTAACGAGTAATCAAAATTATTACTCTTACTGTAACTATAACGCAGTTACCATTGCCGACACCACGTTACTGCACCTTGTTTCATGATAGGACTTGTGTGCGCCTTGTCATTAGAGAGGGGAGGATGGGGAGTGAGGAGGACTCCAGCAGCAAAACAGTGTTTTCCAGATGGTAATACTGGTGTTACGTCGAGCTGCGTTTCCCCATCAGATACGGTTTCCCCTGCATCTCCGCACAGCACAGGCGGCACGATTCACCGTGCAAGCGACAGGAAACGCGCATGCTCGCTAAAGGCGCGTAACAGCTGCCCTCTGCTAGTGCCACTGGGGAACTACGGAGAGTGTGAACGATCAAATGTTAGCCTATATGGATGGATGGATGGATGGATGGATGGATGGATGGATGGATGGATGGATGGATGGATGGATGGATGGAGAGAGGGAGGGAGTATCTATAACAACCCAAACACACAGGATTTCAGAATTGGACATCCCCAGTTATTAATTTCATATACTCATCAGATCTGAACGCCCTGTTAAAAAACTTCACACCCATGAGTAGAGGTAATGCAGCCTGATGAACGCTATCTGAGGGGGTTTATAGGCCCGTCAGATAGCGTTCCCCCCTGATGTCATTTACGTTGAGTTGCAATAAATGCTAAACTCTCTGCAGGTTCTTGTCTTTGTCGTCCGCTCTATTCAGCTGGCTTTGGAAACACACGGCGAGAAGGTGGGGGCCGGGTGGTGAGGGTTACGGGGGCGAGAAACGCAAAAGTAACGCAATAATTACTTTTACTAGTAAATAGTTACTTTTACTGTGGAGTAACTCAGTTAGTAACTCAGTTACTTTTTGGGAGAAGTAACTAGTAACTATAACTAATAACTTTTTGAAAGTAACGTGCCCAACACTGTTGATGTGGCGTGTCCAGCAGCTAAGGTTACATTTTGGAGCAAATGTACATGTTTAAATCTTGCAAATTTGCTAATTTTTTCTCCTTAATGTGTTTTTTTTTTCTTATTAATTTGCAACTTTTTCTCTTATATCTATATGTTTTGATTTTGTACATTTGTGTGTTTTTACTCGTAAATACTCGTGTTTATTCCCGTGAAAATGCAACTTTAAACAAAAAAGTGTAAATTCCGTTTTTGTTTTTTGTCTTTGAATGGCCCTAACACGCCGCCCTATAAAAAAAAAAAAAAAACTTTCCTTTTTGGGGGGGGGGGGGGGGGGGGGGGTTGGGTTAAACCACACAGCGTGTAACCACTTCCGGTCTTCCAGCTGCTGATCTCTATTTATTCACTGGATTGCCGATTGCCCGAAATAGTGAAGCCACCAGCCGCCATCTTGGTAATCCCCACTCCCACAGAGATGCGCAGTAAAATGCCTCCCTGTGCAGCATCTGGCTGCTAAAACCAGCAGTTTTCCAGCTGCAGGAAGACGCTCCTCATGTGATTTCCCAGTCAGTGGATGAACTAAGCAATAAATTCATCTATAGCCGATGGATCCTATAGTTTAGTCTGTAGACTAACATTAGTCCGGCTATCTCAGACCGACTGGAAGACATTGACCGAGTTAGACACTGACATTGGGTCTAATGTTAGAAAATATAAAGTAGAGGAAATAGAAAGTAATTTACTGTGAAATGACAATGTAGTAATTCGCTCATGATGCTGTAGTTTTTGTAGAGTTTGTTGTATTTCTCATTTGCTGAAATATATTGCAGGTTATATTGAGGGGAACAAAAACAACTGAAACATTTGACATGTATATATATATATATATATATATATATATATATATATATAACACTCATTTTATTGTGATGGATTTGTATAATATGTTATATTACATGATTTAAAAACTCAATTAACTTCATAATAACTATGCAGTGTTATGGGCCTATTTATTTTATTATAAGGTAAAGTAATCTACTGATGCTATGAAACAGCCAGTGTGTATCAAAGTGATGAATTTATCTTTATTTTAAGAACATCATCTTTGTTCGATGCAGCAGCGCACCTATTGTTTACATTCCGACCGGTCCATCTAGGGAGTACCAATATGGCGGCCGCTGGCTTCACTCCACCCCCGTACTACCAACAGGCAGTCAGCAATCCAGTGGATCAGTAGAGATCGTGGTTCCAGCGGCTGCAGATGCTTTGCGCTGGAAGGACTGATCCATAGAGGGGCTTCCTACCTGTTTTCTCCTGGATGGCTGTTTATTCAGCCTGAGGATCAGCCAGACAGCAGCGATCACATGAGGAGGCAGAACGGCTGCGGTGGTCAGGTCTAACTGCCTCTGGGGGCTTCAGCTGCTGAAAGGAGTGAGGCTGGTGATGTTCTGCAGAGTCAATGTGAGGCGAGGAGCTCTCTGTTTGGTAGAGTTTAAACTAAACACTTGATTCTGAAACTTGAGGCCTTTAGACAGAAGCAACAGTTTGATGATCTGAACTCACGTGTTTCAGCAGCCTCTATGTAAACACCAACCATGGGTCAGATCAGTGATGCAGATGTTTCTATGCACCCTGTACTTTAAAGTCTAGCAGCTTTTTTGCACAAACTATTTTCTGCATTTCAGCTCTGCAGTTTTTGGCCTTTTTTGTTTTTTTGCACTAGAAGTGTAATCTGAAGTATCCGCTAGGTGGCAGTGGAGCGAATTCTGAGCCCCTTTGTGTGTGAAGTTTGAAATGTCTGTGGTGGTATTTGGAAAAGTTAGCATTTTTAATGGTCAATAGATCGCTGGGAGTGAGGGCTTTGGGCTCATCCAGCTTTAAAAACATGGTGTTGGTTAAAGATCTCAGTTTTGCTGCAGGATTACTGCCCTTCCTTAAGCTTTATTATTAATTTTCCCATGAACTCTGGCCTACCTTTCTATTCCTGTTGTAGCAAATGATCTGAGGTTCATGGTTCTACAGCCCTTTGACTTTTTACTATGCATTAATCTAGGGCTGAAACAATTAATTGGATTAATTGGAATTAATCAATTATTGAAATAATCATCAACTAATTTATCAATTAATCGTTTACCGGAGTCTAAAGACTCTTAAATATGTATTTAGCTGACAGAGCGACCCACTTAGAGCAGCAATTATACCACAACTGTAAATAAAAATAAATGTATATATATATAACCTTTTCTGTCACTATGCTCTATCGAGATCTCCTCAATCGGAAAAGTTTTAGCTTCACCTGGTTTTATTCTGTAAAAAAAATTTCTTTCAGGAATCTTTTTTAACAATTTGTTTGTATAATACAGCTGCAAATAAGTATTTGTACACCTGAGAAAATCTATGTTAATATTTGGTACAGTAGCTTTTGTTTGCAATTCCAGAGGTCAAACTGTTTCTGCTAGCCGGACAAAAACATTGAAAAATCCTCAAAAAAACAAAACAAAAACGGCATCTGAAAGAAACTTCCAACTCTGTGGATAGAAATGGTGACAAACGTCCTTATTTACACCCACTGATGAGAAGCTATAGACCAGAGGCCATTCTCGGGATAGTACTAGTTTTTAATAGCAATGTTATTTATAAGATGTTATGGCATCATGAAATGATCTGGGAGGCAGATCTTTTAGTTCTCAGGCTCCTCTCCTGTGGAACCAACTACCAGTTTTAGTCCGTGAGGCAGACACCCTGTCTACTTTTAAGGCTAGGCTTAAAACTTTCCTTTTTGATAAAGCTTCTAGTTAGAGTGGCTCAGGTTATCCTGAGCTATCTCTATAGTTCTGCTGCTATAGGCTTAGACTGCTGGAGGACATAGGGACCCCTTTTTCATCATTCTGCTTCATTCTATCTCTATTCTCCCACTCTGCAGAATCTGTTAGTTTAATCTCTAACGTTCTGCTCTCTCTGCTTTTTCTCATAGTAGCTTCATCTGGTCTGTTCCTGTTTGGCTGTGACTCCATCCTGGAGAGAAATATCAGCTGTGCTGCTGCCATCAACACCTTTGTTTCTAGATGTTGGAGCTTGGCCTGTTTTCCAGTGTAGTCCTGTTTCTCTGACTGTGACTAACTGGATGTGCTCTCTTCATCCTCTGACATGGGAGCTGGCTCGGAGCTCGTCTGCCTGGCTGTGTGTTTCCTGGACGGGGCCGCCTGTGGAGCTGGTTGACAGTTGCCTTTTGTATCTATGCTTCTTTTTCTATGTCTGCTTCTGTCTCCTTGAACCCCAGTCGGCCTCAGCAGATGGCCGCTCACACTGAGCCTGGTTCTGCTGGAGGTTTCTTCCTGTTCAAAGGGAGTTTTTCCTCTCCACTGTCGCTACAAGCATGCTTAGTGTGAGGGATTGCTGAAGAGTCAATGAGTCAATGAAGAGTCAATGCAATCAGCTGGTTTTGCTTAGATAGAAAACTTTGAATCAATTTGACTGGATGATCTGGTGAACTGGAAAGTGCCTTGAGATGACGTGTTGTGAATTTAATTGAATTGAATAATTTATATTTAAGAACGCCCCTCGTTGGAAAGAGGATCCTTAGGGAAGCATTTTACATGCAACTTGAATGGTAACTAAAATGAAGCCCTGAGGTACTCCAAAATGTAGAACAGCACAGTGCAACCATTCTATTATATCTGCAGCCAAATCTGCCTTCATGCTATAATTTGAAACGTAAGGTTGTTCCTGTAATTCCGACACCCAAGTCCTGATGTGAGCCTGAACTGTTGACAGGGCTGTAGTTAAATACAGCTCCACCAATAGCAGAATTAACAGATTCAGTTAGTTTTAGTTGTCATTAACACCTCTTAAAAGCGCAGTTTCTGTTCTTTATTGAAAGGAGTAGATGATGTGATTATGTTTGTGATTTTCTCGTAGGTCCGGCGATGGATTAAGATCCTACTTTAGCAACAATCTCCAACCTTGCTAAGAACAGGATGATGTGATGGTCATCTGACCCAGTTCCTCCTGTTTGACTGTCCATGTAGTCGAGGTCGGAGCCAATGGACAGTCCCTGCCTAGTTCATCTCACCTTGACCCTGCTGGCTTTTCTGAACCCGTGTCTGATGACACCGACTCCCAGAGTCTCCTTCCCAATGGGTGAGTGGAGCCTTTAACTGAACTCTTTTTAAATGAAACACATGTTCTACATAATTAATGGATATTTGAGGCTCAAATCCAGGTATGTTTGCAGCAATTTAACAAGAGATCAGGTTTGTTTATTCATTAGTAAACACTGAGAATGTGTGGAAAACATGTTTGTGTTTCTTTCCTTTTTGCTAAATACAAGGGCTGCATATTGTTTTCACAATTACACAAGATCAACCCCACTATGAAAACTTCAGTATCAGCTCAAAATATACATTAACTAAAGAAGTCTGGTCATACTCAAAATTAAAACTTCTGAAAGTTCTTTAAATATGAAATTATTTCGTCCTGTTCAATAAATGATCAGTGTTTTTAATTCAGAGTAATTTTCATGTGAATGTGCTTTACTGGAGGCATCCATGTTTGTCAAAGAACACTACTGCCACCTACTGGTTTGTGACGTCACGGTGCGGTATCGGCTGTTGATCAAGTCCCAGTGCTGTATCTGGTGTTTATCACAACGCGCTATTATCCACTGTGGGTTTCTAGGGGTGGAACGGTTCACAAAATCAACGGTTCGGTTCGGTTCACGGTTTTCGGTTCGGTTGATTGTTAGGAAAATCTCTAACCTGACATGTTGGTCATGTTGCTGTTAGCATAAACAAAACGTGTTGAACAATGCTTGCACACTGTTGCACTTTTATCCACAGCTTTCTTCCCGCCGTCATCGTAGGTCACTCTAAATGCAAAGTGGTCCCATACAGCAGACCTATAAAGTGCTGCTGGCGCGTCTTCCAACTCCTGTTCTTTCCCACTCGCCATACCCACACAATTCTCCACAACAACTGATTTTTTTCTGCTACGCCCGGCTACGCTGCTTCGCTTCTTCTTCTTGTTTACTACTGGTGGTTGGCTTTGGTCGCAGTACCGCCACCTTCTGCTCTGGAGTGTAAACGCTTCGCTATGAGAAAAAGGAGCAGCATGAACCGAACGCAACACACGCAAATTGAACCGAACGGTTTTCATAAACCGTTCCATCCCTATTGGCTACATATTACGTGTTTTTTCTCTGGCCAGAAGTTCGATGGCAAATCCTCCCTCTTCAAGTTGGCGATCCAACGACCAACCCGTCCGTGGAGGATCAGGAATCAGAAAGGTGGAATAACTCTTTTTTTCACTTTTACCCGATGTATTCCAGCATCCAGCTGCCATGCACGTGGGCATTGTTAGTTTCACTATAGCTCTGGTGAATTTCAATGGTGAAGTCCTCTGGAAATCTTCAATAATTGTTGTTGATTGCAGATGTGTCTAATAGTTCCCATTGATTTAGCTTGGAAAGCGGGGAGAATGGCGCTAGGCTTACCGCACCGTGACGTCACTGCCGGAAGATGGCGGGAGGGAGGGGTTACTAGATTTGGGCTAAAATGGCCGCTCCCGGACTCTGAATGTGACGAAAATTATTGTTTTTCTTTTTATCACTAATTAATGCTAAATTAATGAAATCACCGTGAACGTATTAGCTTTAGGTATAAATAATTTTCCATTAATTATTCCTTGTTGATCGGACTTTTTCTTTAAAGTTTTGTTTTTGCATTTTTGAAATTTTATTCTAGAAAACATGTTCTTTGCTTAAAACCCCAATGGAGCAAAATTTCCGCCACATTTTTGCTTTTTTTTACTGAGTTTTAACCTGAAATTAGGTTTGGTTTGACCCCTGAGACTGAATGGTTTGTGACATGTTGTGGAATAACAGGCAGCGCAGGAAGGCGTCTGGTGTTGTTCAGCAGCCATGATGTCAGGAACACCACAACTCTGCTTCTCAGCGAAGATGGAGAAAGGCTGTACGTAGGAGCCCGCGATGCTGTGTTAGCGCTGGATGTTAGCCGCAAAGACGCCATCCTTCTGAGGAGCAAGGTGAGCCATGATCCACAGGCTGCCTGCTGCAGGATCCTGCTGCCGTCACTCCTGTTCCTTTAAAGTATCAAAGTAAGGCTGGAAAAGAGTTTTTATTTTTTTATGTTGGGAAGTTTCATGCTGAGTCGGAATGAAACCCCAGCTGAGCTGAATGTTGCAGAGCCCCACTCTCTGCAGGGAATGAGAAGAATGTCAGTGTTGAAGCTAAGATTCTTTGCATTTACATCCCATAAGAAAACAACAGAGATGTGTTTGCAGCTGCACATTTGAACAAAAGTGAATGTCTGAGGCTTAGCTTAGGCTGTATTTGCATATTCATATTCTGAATCCATTCTCATTATCAGTGGAGAGGAAAATTCCATTTGATCAGGAAGAAAGTTCCAGCAGACCCAGAACTAGGCTCGGTGTGAGCGGCCATCTTCTGTGACTGAATGGGGTTCAAAGAAACAGAAGCAAGCATTCAAAAGGAACATAGAAGAACTGATCAATAAATAGTTTTAATGATAGAAAAGGTATCAGTAGAGTTGATCCACTCCACATGTCTTTTGCCAAGGGAAGAGACGGATAAGCAGGCAACCTCTAAGCTAATTTTGATGTCAAAATTGATGAATAAGTGTTCATAGATAGTAAAACCTGAGCCCATCACTATGTATGGGAGAAAAACAGGACAAAACACAAAAGAACAGAGAACAACTCCATCCATCCATATTCTCCTGCTTATTCAGTCATGGTTTATGTGGGGCTGGTGTCTATCTCCAGCAGTCTATAGGCAAGAGGCGCAGTAGACCCTGGACAGGTCACCAGTCTGCCAGAGACCCCAATGCTATCATTTATAATGGAAGTTTTGACAGAAGGGCTCCTGAGGATGTCTCCTTTCAGGATAGCTAAAACGGGGTTTCCGCAGGTCATTAAAAATAAATAAAAGTCATTAAAAAATGATTTCTTAAATTAAGACCTTAATTGGCATTAAAATTCATTAAATTTGATAAACGTGGCATTAAAATGGTTTCGGAAAAGAAGGTTGAGGCGGAGAAAAGGCTAGAGAATGGGGAAAAATGCAAATTTGAACCAAAGTGGCGGGAAAACGAGGAACCACGCTGAAGATGACGAAGGATTTTGCCGTATACATAAATAAGTCATGAGTACTTGTTGGTGGCATTTAGATTATTTCTAAGAGCATTAAAAAGGATTAAATAAGAGTTACCCATTCATGTATAAACCCTGTAGAAGCAAGCCAGAGTAAGCTACTATGACAACAAAAACCAGAGAGAACACAAAGTTAGTCAATGAACTAATGAATAATCTAAAAACAGAGATAGAATGAAGCAAGATGATGAAAAAGGGGTCCCTATGTCCTCCAGCAGTCTAAGCCTATAGCAGCATAACTATAGAGATAGCTCAGGATAACCTGAGCCACTCTAACTATAAGCGTTATCAAAAAGGAAAGTTTTAAGCCTAGCCTTAAAAGTAGACAGGGTGTCTGCCTCACGGACTAAAACTGGTAGTTGGTTCCACAGGAGAGGAGCCTGATAACTAAAAGATCTGCCTCCCATTCTACTTTTAGAAATTCTAGGAACCACTAGTAAACCTGCAGATTGAGAGTGAAGTGCTCTGTTAGGAACATAAGGAACAATCAGATCTCTGATATAAGATGGTGCTTGGCCATTTAAGGCTTTATATGTGAGAAGGAGGATTTTAAATTCTATTCTGGATTTAACAGGAAGCCAATGAAGAGAAACTAAGATCATTAATTTTCATCAGAACTTATCAGAACTAAGGTTTACTGCTCTAACATTACAATATGGAAAATGTGAATAATTGATATCACATTGGAGAAATTTACTTCTGCATTTAACTAAACGATCCACTGGACTTTGTTTCCAAGTTTGAAGATGTTTCTCTTCCCATCCAGGAAGCTTTTTTAATTAAAAATGTCAGAAATAGCGTTGAGTTCGAGGTTCTATAGAGTGGACCAACAAAGCCTTATTTTAGCTTAGAAAACATTTAAACTGGACTTAACGCTATTTCTGACATATTGAATTCAAAAAGCCTCCTGGATGGGAAGAGAAATGTCTTCAAACTTGGAGCAAAGTCCAGTTGATAAATTTTTTTTTACATTTTTGGAATGACTATGACCTTAATGACTGAGAATCTTTACCAGCTCTCTGCATTTAACCCAACCCCTTAGGGAGCAGTGGGCTGCCATTGTGCAGCACCCGGGGGGAGCAGCGTGGGGTTAAAGGTCTTGCCAAGAAATAGATTTTTTTTTTCCAGCCTGTCTTCAAATACATTTTTTTTCTGAATACAGTCCTTGCACCCCTGGTTACTGATAAAACACCCAACCAATAGTAACCAGTTCTCCTTTTTTATAGCTGGACTGGAGCCCCTCAGAAGAAGACCTGGAAAAATGTTCCATGAAGGGCAAAAACAAGGCAAGTGTTGACATTTTGTTCTGCAATAATCCTACAGAATTAACCGGCTGGTCGTCGTTACCACTGGATTGTTCCAGCCTCGAGTATCTGTGGATAAAAACCCATCTATCTCTGTGCAAAGACAAAAGTAATGTGTTTGGGAGCAGGATAAAATCTTAGGTGTACATGGTTCTGGAATCCTGTACCAGGCAGTTGCAGCTCATGTGGTCTAGACTGATCAGAACCTTCTAGTCCTGGGAAGCACTACATGTCAGCAGATTTATAGACCCATATTGAGACTAGTTTTCTAGTCTGGTTTTGATCCCAGTGTGACGGTCCGGTCCATACACATCGTTCATTAAAAACTGACAGGGTCTCTTCAACCCTGTTTCCTCTATAATGAGACTGTTGGATAAAAAGCTGTTGATGGATCTGAATTGTTCTGCCTCGCTTTAGGTGGAGCGTCTGCAGAATGTTCTGCTTTAACATCTCTAGAGTTTCAGAGGCCAAACCTCCCAACTTTCACAGCTTAAAAGATCAGTTACAGTGGGCTCTGTGCCAGATAGCATGGAAGCTTTCAGAGGTCCAGAGGGGTTCAGATGTCAATAGCTTTGCTCTAAGCGAGATTAACAGCTTAGCCATCTATAAGCATGCATCTGTTTGATCCCCGGGCAACACAAGCTGTCCAGGGACACTTCACAGGTCCTCTTCAGATTTTCTGTCTTAAAAATTGTTTGCTGCGTCCTGGACAGAAAAATCCAACCAAAAATGTCTTTGTTGTTAAAAAATATCAATTGTTAAAAAAAAAAAGAAAAAGAAAAACTATTCAATTCTATTCAGTGTATTTCTATAGCGCCAATTCACATCATGTCATCTCAGCTCACTTTACAGTTCATCAGATCATCCAGTCAGATTGATTCAAAGTTTTCTATCTAAGGAAAACCAGCTGATTGCATCGACTCATTGACTCTTCAGCAATCCCTCACACTAAGCATGCTTGTAGCGACAGTGGAGAGGAAAAACTCCCTTTGAACAGGAAGAAACCTCCAGCAGAACCAGGCTCAGTGTGAGCGGCCATCTGCTGAGGCCCACTGGGGTTCAAGGAGAGATTCCTTCAAATTCAGCAACTGACCAGGGCTGTCCATGGCCCATAGCATCAGCTCTAGCTCTGCATCTGGTTTAGTTCAAAAGTAAAAGGCTACATTTGGAGATTGTGGATCTCCTTTTTTGAAATTTAGTATTTTCTTACAATCAAGGCACAACTGCAGCACGGTGCTCTCACACTAATTCCACGTTCGGGTTGAGGGGGGGTTAGTTTGGGCAGCAGGTGTTTGAGCAGAAGTAGTGATGGGTTGATGAGGCGTCATGAAACGTTTCGACACATTACCAAACTGTATTGATACTGTGTCGATACTGTGTCACTGAATACTGACACCTGGTGGACATTAAAAATCCCTACAGGCAACCTAGCTGACAGAGTTAACTGACACTGATTTGATGACCTATTATATACACTAACATGATGCAATTCATTGTATGATGCATTGTATTATTATTAAAACATATTTGATATTTTAGACACAGTCAATGAATAATGAGAACCTGCATCATAATGTAATAATCTCTAAGTAAAAATGTAGTAAATGAAGATGCTTGTTCACTGGTATTTTATTTTTACAATTTTTTATTCAAAAAATAAGTTGTTGCAACGTTTTGAAATTCAGTCTGTTGCGCTTTTTTGATATTAGTTCTCCAGCTGTGGAAAACACCCGCTCACACAGCACAGATGAAGCTGGAGTGCACAAAAATTTTAAGGCCAGGCGGAAGAGGTTTGGATAAACCGTCCTTTGGTTTTTCCAATATACAAGAGGATCCTGGGACCTCGCAATATTGCCCTCTGCCATGTATCTCTGCACCTCAAGGATGGCATCAGCTGTGGCACTTTTGGTCTGCCTCCCCACTTCGAGATCAAAATGTTCCCAAAGGTCATCTTAAAAAAAAAATAATAATAAAAAAAAAAAAAGTATTTTAGTACATGATTTACAAACAACAAAGAAATTATGCTCAATATCATGCCTGAAGTGGGGGCAGACAGCTGTTGTGAAGATGTTCCCGGCTGGGGCTCATTTGAGCTTCCAACTATTGAGGCACATTCTGTCCGCAGCCTGCTGTACTTCCATTTTCACTCGTTCCCGTTCCTCCTCGTACTTTTTGGCCAACAGTTGTTTGATGATCTGAAAACCACACCAAGTCAAACCAGAAGAAAATCAATATATTTAAAATAAATTTGATGAATAAACTACCACTTTAGATAATTTCCACACAAACCTTTCTGGTTGGCAAAACAAATGAGGGCTCAAGGAGCTGAACCAGCTCCCTGAAGCCTTCATTCTCCACAACAGCGAGGGGCTGCCAGTCCTTTACAATGAAATTAAGCACAGCCTCATCAAGCATCTGCTTCCTGGAAGCTTGATGGTTAAAAATGAGAAAGTGTAAATTATTCAGAATTATCAATAAAACAAAGTCAGTAAGTTGTAAAATACCTGTATACCTGAGTTCATCATGGGTGTATCATGGATTTCACTCTCATGCTTGGCCCTATAATGCCTCAGCATTGAGGAGGTGCTGTTATTTAAATATGAAAGCTCTGTTGAGCAATTGCGACATTTAACCTGTAGAAAATAACACGAACAGTAAACTAAAGGTCACTTTGAAATGAATTTCTACTCAGAAAATCAAGTGGAAACTCTGAGAGGAACAGGATGAAACAAGGAAATTAAAACAAATACCTTATTTTCCGAAATGACATCAAAGTGGTCCCACACGGCAGAAACCTTTCTTTTTGCTTGAGGAAGCTCCATTATTTTTTATTAATTTTATATTCGCAAAACACGCAAGATTGTTTTGGCAGATGCGCTTCCTTATAAAGGCTGGTCAATCAGTTCGAAACATCGGTCACGTGACCGATACAGGAACTGTTTCGGTCACGTGACTTTTCCGTAGTGATACACACGTCGACACAGGTTTCGCTCTATGAGACCGACACATGCGCCGACGCATCGGTGTTGCCCGACCCATCACTAAGCAGAAGAGTCCAATGATGGCACTGGTAGCAGCATGTGCTGAGCATGAAGCAGAGACCCTAAAGCTCCATATAAGAAGCGTTGCGGTAGTGACGGTTATCTCTGAGACGACCTTTAGGTTCCCACTGATGGGGTTCTAATTAGTGGGTTTTGTTCTTATGCAGAAATTCATCTTAATTGTACTGAATCATCTTATCTGTAACTTTTGTGTTTGGACCTTGTAGGTGGACTGTTCCAATTTCATCCGAGTTCTGCAGTTCTTGAACAGCACCCACATGTACGCCTGTGGAACGTTCGCCTTTAGTCCCCGCTGCATGTACATCGTAAGTGTTTTATACGACGGAGTATTAGGGCCACACATGAAGAGAAAAAATATTTTTGCCATGACGAGATTAAACTCGACATGTCGACTTTAAAGTCGACATGTCGACATTAAACTCAACATTTTGAGAATAAAGTTGAAATGTCATGTTGAGTTTAATCTCGACGTTTCGACTTTAAACTCGCCATCTCGAGAATAAAGTTGATATATCGTGGCGACTTTAATCTCGACATTCCAAAGTTTGGAGAAAAGAGCAACCGCGCTCCACAGCTGCAGTCTGCGTTTTAAGAGTGAAGGTACCCTGTGACGTGCTGCAACTGTATAGGATTCTGTGCATGTATCCTGTGCAGCGGTTGGCTCTCTTGAACTAATTTAAACTTTATTGTCGACACGTCGAGATTAAACTCAACATGACATTTCAACTTTATTCTCGAAATGGCGAGTTTAAAGTCGACAGGGCGAGTTTAAAGTCACCACGTCGACATTAAACTCAACATGACATTTCAACTTTATTCTCGAAATGTTGAGTTTAATGTTGACTTTAAAGTCGACATGTCGAGTTTAATCTCGTCATGGCAAAAATATTTTTTCTCTTCATGTGTGGCCCTAATACTCCGTCGTAGTTTTACGCTGGCACGGCTCACATGTGAATGAACTTTTCTTTCAGGGTTTAGGGTTTTTTTATTTGATTAGTGATTTAAGATGTGAACATGAAGAAAGATAAGATATTTAATGAAACAAGGTTAGCATGTGTTAACTGGAACCTAATGATGATGATGTTTCATCATTACTTTTGTTGTTTGATTGTTTTTTTACGATTTTCTGACCAGAACTCAGAGAATCTCACACAGAGCCTCACTGCTGATGAAGGAAGAGGACGCTGCCCCTATGATCCCTATCAACGCAACACTGCTATCATTGTGGGTAAGGCAATGCATGCACATTTATGGTTGGTACAGGATCAAAGAGCCCCTGTTAAACCGATCTAAATAAAAAAATAGCTTATTAATCCAAAGAGAAATTAAATGTTGCAGTAACTCTTCTGCAGTTTTTTAACAAGTTGTTACAGGCGTTGATAGCTTTCTGCAGGAAGGATCTTCTGTAGCAGTCTGTGATTCTGTGATCTGGAGAAGACGCTCTGTGTAAAGGACAAGTCCAGTCAGCAGGAATGATCAATGGATCATTATCTACACCTGAAACTAATACGTTCGCCATGATTTAAGGAATTTAGCGTTAATCAGTTAAAAAAAACAAGAACAATCATTTTCGTTGCGATCACTGAGTCTGGGAGCGGCCATTTTTGCCCAAATATAGTAGCCCCTCCCTCCTGCCATCTTCCAGCAGTGACGTCACGGTGCGGTAAGCCTAGCGCCATTCTCCCCGCTTTCCAAGCTAAATCAATGGGAACTACTAGACACATCTGCAATCAACAACAATTATTGAAGATTTCCAGAGGACTTCACCATTGAAATTCACCAGAGCTATAGTGAAACTGACAATGCCCACGTGCATGGCAGCTGGATGCTGGAATACATCGGGTAAAAGTGAAAAAAAAGAGTTATTCCACCTTTCTGATTCCTGATCCTCCACGGACGGGTTGGTCGTTGGATCGCCAACTTGAAGAGGGAGGATTTGCCATCGAACTTCTGGCCAGAGAAAAAAAACGTAATATGTAGCCAACATTTGGAAGAAGAATGTTTTCAAGATGACTTGCAGAGGCGTGCACAGACATTTTGGGGGGCAGGTGCTCAGGAGGGGGGGGGGGGCACTTTTTAGCGCACGTGGAACACTTAATTATAAAAAAAATACACGCATGTTGAATGAAATTTTACTTTTATTTGTAACATTCTCTAAACGTGAGTTTTCAATGAAAAAAAGTCACACCACCAACAGAACAGACTAAAGCTCATCTTTCTTTTTCTTTCATCTGGCTCATCTCCCTGTTCTCCCTCATCCTGGTCTTTTTCTGTCTCTGTGTCTTCCCTGAACTCTTCCTCATCTCCTGTCCTGGTAGATGTTGATGGTATAGAGCTTCCCTGCTGTGACTGGCTACAATATAATAATAATAATAATAATAATAATAGCTTTAACACATATGCCACATTAGTTTAAATAATGGGCTATTAGGGCAACATGACTGGAAGTCTTGTCACGTGGATATGACTTATGGTAGCCTACAACATAATAGCTATTTCAATACCTGCTGCACAAACCACTTAAAAATAAAATGTGAACAGCTTTTAATATTTTTCAATACAATTAACCCTCCTTTCTTGGCATTGCACTGCAATTACTAAATCAATATACAATTAAGACAATAAAGAGACCAAAATGTGTTAATTTATGTTTCCTAACAAAACCTACACAACAGAATTCTGAGATTAAAGTCAGCATTCTGACTTTTTTCCCATACTAAACTGAAATAAAATTTAAAAATCAGTTAACTTATTTTTTTTTCAGTGGCCCTAATCCTCTTCCGTATTTGCAATTGCAAACTCTACCGAAATTATTTGTAGCCTATGTGGTCGTCCTCACGTTATCTGTCATTGACTTGGGCTACTTTCAGAATCAGGTTTATTGCCATTGTTAGTGAAGGAGTTCACAAACTAGGAATTTTTTATGGTACAATCGTGCAACATGAAACATATAATATGGAATAGGTAAATAAAATTATAAAAATATCTAAAAACTGTGGGTATACGTCATGCAATAAAATAGACTAATATATACACTTCAGATAAAAATATGGATATAAAATATAAAAAGTAAAATAGCATCTTACAAGGAGACAACTAGTTTATCTGGTGACCATTCGGCAAAATGCTTGTTTGGTGCTGCTGAATGAGACATTTTAATGCACAACAAAATGATTCTGCTTGATCTGTATATTACCTGGCTAATGGGGCACGGGAGAAGCAACCTGTCAGCGACCGTTCCTGCTATCTGAAGACGCTACTGAACTGCTATGATGCTGCACATCTGGCATGCCCTGCGGGCGACCGCGCGAGGTCACGTGACAAATGAAGAGAGAGAGGGTCGTTTGTGCGCAAGTAAGTGGCTCATTTCGGGGCATTGTTTCAGTCGTTTTTAATGGCTCAGGTTTTCAAAAGATCATTTCAAAACCGACCTCAGAAAAATCTTATTAATAATAATAATTAAAAAAAAAACGAGTTTCAAAAGGGCATTTTCTTTGATAGAGGGCAAACTTCCTAGTGCTTTAGCACCACCTAGTGTCTATGTATGCACGCCCCTGATGACTTGGATAATAGCGCGTTGTGACAAACACCAGATACAGCACTGGGACTTGATCAACAGCCGATACCGCACCGCGACGTCACAAACCAGTAGGTGGCAGTAGTGTTCTATGACAAACATGGATGCTTCCAGTAAAGCACATTCACATGAAAATTACTCTGAATTAAAAACACTTATATTTATCATTATCATTTATTGAAAAGTATGCAATAATTTAATATTTAAAGTACTTTCAGAAGTTTGAAGTCTGAATATGTCCAGACTTTTCCTTTAAATCCAAAGAAAAATTTAGTGAAGTAAACTGATGACTAGTAGAGTCAGAGTTGAATGTTTCCAGAAAAACAAGCAATGAAAATAATTAAAACGCAGGCCGCTGCATGAGCCTTTTTCTTTTTCTTAATCCCAGAGACGGATTTATAACCTGTACTTCCTGTATTAATCTTGTGTTGTTGTTTTAATTTCTTAGGTGGAGAGCTTTACACCGGCACAGTGGCAGACTACAGGGGAAACCGACCAGTCATTTCCAGACACCTCAGCGAGGGCAGCCGCGTCGACCTCAAGCTGGATGACACATTAGGATGGCTCGAGGGTGAGCGCACTGTCTCTCATCCTTAAAGTTGACTTATTTTGTAAAATTCCTTTTCATGTGTGTGTTTGGTACTGTTTCTACAGACAGTCAAAGCATTGGCATCAATACATGCTAAAAATGTGTGTGTATATATATATATATATATATATATATATATATATACATATATATATATATATATGTATATATAAATACATTATAAAACCGGAACAAACAATTAATGCTTAGCTTGATGCTAATTTTCGTTGAAAGTCCCATCGGTATGCTAATGGCCGTTTCTCAGTGTGTGTACTTGTGCGTTCTCATGTGCTCGTGAAACGCCATCAGCCTCAGCCTTAGTGCTGTTCCAATTTACAAGAACAAGAAGACAGAGAACAGACAAAGTCCCCAGATGTTGTTCTCACCCTTCCCTCTTTACCCAGCATGCATCAGAGCAGGCTTGTCTGTTCTTGAATGACAGCTGTCCCAGCATGCACTGCGGCAGCAGCAGCTTCCAATGGAGCGCTCACAGAACTCAGAGTATTAAGTTAAAACTTCTCTTTTCTGTTGCAGTTGTTCAATAATAGTACGTTTTAAGATCATTTGAGGCGAGAATATTATACTTTTGGGACAATATATGGAACATTTACTGATTCAGTGCGTACTTAAAAAAAAAAAAAGTTCCCGATGTTGAGAGGACTGTGGCAACCCGTCTGCAGCGGCCAGGGCTAACGTTAGCCCGTCTGCAGCGGCCAGAGCTAACATTAGCCCGTCTGCAGTAGCCAGGGCTAAGGTTAGCCCGTCTGCAGCGGCCAGAGCTAACATTAGCCCGTCTGCAGTAGCCAGGGCTAACGTTAGCCCGTCTGCAGCGGCCAGGGCTAACGTTAGCCCGTCTGCAGCGGCCGGGGCTAATGTTAGCCCGTCTGCAGCGGCCAGGGTAACATTTGCCCGTCTACAGAGGCCAGGGCTAACGTTAGCCCGTCTACAGCGGCCAGGGTAACATTTGCCCGTCTACAGCAGCCATGGCTAACGTTTGCCCGTCTGCAGCGGCCAGGGCTAATGTTAGCCCATCTGCAGCGGCCAGGGTAACATTTGCCCGTCTACAGCAGCCAGGGCTAACGTTAGCCCGTCTGCAGCGGCCAGGGCTAACGTAAGCCCGTCTGCAGCTGCCAGGGCTAACGTAAGCCCGTCTGCAGCTGCCAGGGCTAACGTAAGCCCGTCTGCAGCGGCCAGGGCTAACGTTAGCCCGTCTGCAGCGGCCAGGGCTAACGTTAGCCCGTCTGCAGCGGCCAGGGCTAACGTAAGCCCGTCTGCAGCGGCCAGGGCTAACGTAAGCCCGTCTGCAGCGGCCAGGGCTAACGTAAGCCCGTCTGCAGCGGCCAGGGCTAACAGGCTGTCTGCAGCGGCCAGGGCTAACGTTAGCCCGTCTGCAGCGGCCAGGGCTAACGTTAGCCCGTCTACAGCGGCCAGGGCTAACGTAAGCCCGTCTGCAGCGGCCAGGGCTAACAGGCCGCCTGCAGCGGCCAGGGCTAACGTTAGCCCGTCTGCAGCGGCCAGGGCTAACGTTAGCCCGTCTGCAGCGGCCAGGGCTAACGTTAGCCCGTCTGCAGCGGCCAGGGCTAACGTTAGCCCGTCTGCAGCGGCCAGGGCTAACGTTAGCCCGTCTGCAGCGGCCAGGGCTAACGTAAGCCCGTCTGCAGCGGCCAGGGCTAACGTAAGCCCGTCTGCAGCGGCCAGGGCTAACAGGCTGTCTGCAGCGGCCAGGGCTAACGTTAGCCCGTCTGCAGCGGCCAGGGCTAACGTTAGCCCGTCTGCAGCGGCCAGGGCTAGCGTAAGCCCGTCTGCAGCGGCCAGGGCTAACAGGCCGCCTGCAGCGGCCAGGGCTAACGTTAGCCCGTCTGCAGCGGCCAGGGCTAACGTTAGCCCGTCTGCAGCGGCCAGGGCTAACGTTAGCCCGTCTGCAGCGGCCAGGGCTAACGTTAGCCCGTCTGCAGCGGCCAGGGCTAACGTTAGCCCGTCTGCTGCGGCCAGGGCTAACGTTAGCCCGTCTGCAGCGGCCAGGGCTAACGTTAGCCCGTCTGCAGCGGCCAGGGCTAACAGGCCGTCTGCAGCGGCCAGGGCTAACGTTAGCCCGTCTGCAGCGGCCAGGGCTAACGTTAGCCCTTCTGCAGCGGCCAGGGCTAACGTAAGCCCGTCTGCAGCGGCCAGGGCTAACGTTAGCCCGTCTGCAGCGGCCAGGGCTAACGTTAGCCCGTCTGCAGCGGCCAGGGCTAACGTAAGCCCGTCTGCAGCGGCCAGGGCTAACAGGCCGCCTGCAGCGGCCAGGGCTAACGTTAGCCCGTCTGCAGCGGCCAGGGCTAACGTTAGCCCGTCTGCAGCGGCCAGGGCTAACGTTAGCCCGTCTGCAGCGGCCAGGGCTAACGTTAGCCCGTCTGCAGCGGCCAGGGCTAACGTTAGCCCGTCTGCAGCGGCCAGGGCTAACGTTAGCCCGTCTGCAGCGGCCATGGCTAACGTTAGCCCGTCTGCAGCGGCCAGGGCTAACGTTAGCCCGTCTGCAGCGGCCAGGGCTAACGTTAGCCCGTCTGCAGCGGCCAGGGCTAACGTAAGCCCGTCTGCAGCGGCCAGGGCTAACGTAAGCCCGTCTGCAGCGGCCAGGGCTAACGTTAGCCCGTCTGCAGCGGCCAGGGCTAACGTTAGCCCGTCTGCAGCGGCCAGGGCTAACGTTAGCCCGTCTGCAGCGGCCAGGGCTAACAGGCCGTCTGCAGCGGCCAGGGCTAACGTTAGCCCGTCTGCAGCGGCCAGGGCTAACAGGCCGTCTGCAGCGGCCAGGGCTAACAGGCCGTCTGCAGCGGCCAGGGCTAACAGGCCGTCTGCAGCGGCCCTCTCTCAGCATAGCTGTGTGTGAAGTACCGCTGGCTCAGATGCAGATTTTTTATTTATTTTTTTTGGAAAAAAGTTAATTTGATTTGTCTTTATCTGACTGTGTTCATTATTATTCCCCCACTAAAAAAAAAATTTATTATTATCTATAGACTATGAACAACAGGAGGTGAAATGCAGCTCCAGATCAGCTGAGCATGTGGTGATGTCATCAGTACACTTCTGTTCCAATTGACCCATATTTATGCTACTGTTCTCCCAGAGTCCAGACTTTCCTGTGTTCTTCTCAAGAATGTACTTGTCTTACGAGTCTGTACTCACGTTCTTGTGAATTGAGAACGGCAAATGCCTCTGGTTCAGTTTCTGCCCGTTCTGAAACTTCACTTCTTTCACCGGGGTTGTCCGTTTTCCTTCAGGCTGCTGGGCTCTAGCTCAGACGGTGCTTTTTTGGTGCAAAACCAGCAAAACCAGCCCCCTCTCAAGCAGTGGCCCTGCAGTGAGACGTTCTGCCGCTTTGCCTTTCCAATGTTTTGTACACAGTTTGCTGCGTTATGCTGGTTATGGAAGAGACTTATTTTGATTCTGGGTCCGACTCAGTCTTTAAGTTGAATGTAGTTTTAGAGTAGTTTTTAGAGTGGAGTTTTTCCTCTCCACTGTGGCTATATGAATATGAAGTGAAAACATTTTTCAGCAGTATTTTAAAATCATGTCATGTATCATTTAGGTAAAACAGTTGTTTGCATTTGTATACAGTGATGCTGTGTCTTCTCTCCTGTAGATCCAACTTTTATCAGCTCCAAGTTTATTCCACAAGAGCAGAAAATCTACTTTTTCTTCAGCGAAGTGGGCAGAGAGTATAACTTTGTGGACAAATTTCTTGTCTCCCGAGTTTCCCAGATCTGCATGGTGAGTTCAGAGGACTTATATCATTCTGTTTAGGAGTATGAATGAAAAATCCGTAAAGACAAACGTTGATGGGAACACGACCAGTCACTGCAGAATGGAATGAGTGATCTAGAGCTTTATAGGAACAGTCCGGTCAGCAAGGAATAATCAATGGATCATTGTTTATACCTTAAACTAATACGTGTGCGCTGATTTAAGGACTTTAGTCGCGATCACTGAGTCTGGGAGCGGCCATTTTTGCCCAAACATAGTAGCCCCTCCCTCCTGCCATCTTCCAGCAGTGACGTCACGGTGCGGTAAGCCTAGCGCCATTCTCCCCGCTTTACAAGCTAAATCAATGGGAACTACTAGACACATCTGCAATCAACAACAATTATTGAAGATTTCCAGAGGACTTCACCATTGAAATTCACCAGAGCTATAGTGAAACTGACAATGCCCACGTGCATGGCAGCTGGATGCTGGAATACATCGAGTAAAAGTGAAAAAAAGAGTTATTCCACCTTTCTGGTTCCTGATCCTCCACGGACGGGTTGGTCGTTGGATCGCCAACTTGAAGAGGGAGGATTTGCCATCGAACTTCTGGCCAGAGAAAAAACCCGTAATATGTAGCCAACATTTGGAAGAAGAATGTTTTCAAGATGACTTGGATAATAGCGCGTTGTGACAAACACCAGATACAGCACTGGGACTTGATCAACAGCCGATACCGCACTGTGACGTCACTAACCAGTAGGTGGCAGTAATGTTCTTTGACAAACATGGATGCCTCCAGTAAAGCACATTCACATGAAAATTACTCTGAATTAAAAACACTGATCATTTATTGAACATTATGTAATAATTACCTGCAGAGCGTGAGGCCTGCATGTTTCCCCTGCCATCATTCTTAACACAGAATCACTGCTGTCTGAGAGCAATAGCTAGGAGACCTAACAGACGGGCACTCTGTTGTTGTGATTCTTTACAAAAAAGATAAACTCTATTATTAAAACTGGAACTCAGCTTAGCAGGACAAAACAATCCTCTGGTTTTACTCTGATTACGTGAAACCAACTTAATGTGTGGAAAGTAAACAATGAATTCAGCAAAGATTAACCTAAAATTAAACAACAGGTATCAGACAAAACTACATCTACTTTTGGTGCTTTGATTGGACTGATTCATAGGACAGCAGATATTTTTAGCCGATATTAATCTTTTTTTTGTATTTTTTTGGCCGATACGTACATGTGTTCACTGATTTATCAGTGTATTTTCCAGCCATTCATTGAGATCATGTAAGGTGCATATAGATATCAGTGGTAGGCCGTTAATGCCCGACTTAGAAGCTGGGCCTATACTAATGATGATTTTCACCTTAATATTTTAGCGTTGATGTATGTCTGGGGACAGGAAGGAGTCAATCTCCCAACCTGTGTAGGCCTACAGTGAAATTAACACATTGAACATGACGTTCTGACATGGATGCAGCTATAAGCAGAACTCCATCAGCCGTGTTAACCAATCCAATCGCTCCGTGGATAGCTGATGGGCTCGGACTCGTTCTCCAGGTGGCAGCAGGTGACCCATCTTACAAACTATCTGTGTGGCGAACTACCATGAAATTACATGACCAGCACGCCACGGAGAGCGCTGTGGAAGATGAGAAGTTAATCGAGGCAACGTTTGGGTCCGATTTTTGGAGAGGCACTGTTTTGTTTTAGTCGGATTTCTACACACTTTTGCAGCAAGTAGCAAAAAAAGTTGAATTTTGTCAAAATCCTAAGTATGAAAATGAAATTACGCCTGATTTTCCAATAATCTATATTATTTCCAAGATTATAGTGAGATTAATTCAATTCTATTCAGTTTGTTTATATAGCGCCAAATTCTCAAAACATGTCATCTCAAGGCTCTTTCCAGTTCAACCAGATCATCCAGTCAAATTGATTCAAAGTTTTCTATCCAAGGAAAACCAGCTGATTGCATCGACTCATTGACTCTTCAGCAATCCCTCACACTAAGCATGCTTGTAGCGACAGTGGAGAGGAAAAACTCCCTTTAACAGGAAGAAACCTCCAGCAGAACCAGGCTCAGTGTGAGCGGCCATCTGCTGAGGCCCACTGGGGTTCAAGGAGACAGAAGCAGAGACACAAAAAGCAGCAAATCTATTAATCTAGATTAATAAAATGTATGTATGCCCACCACTAAAATAAATAATTGTTTTATTCAGGAGTAATAATTTAAGAGAAGCAGCTTTTGCTGGCCATAAATCTGGTAAAGGGGACATCTCAAAATAGTCTTAAACTCATATATTCTCAAATGAAAATCATGTTACTCTGAATAATTGAAATAAACCCCAAATATTTTTGGAAAAGTGAGACCATAGTATAGAAACAGCATTTTTATTAAGAATGCACGCTTCTGTTGTTCTTTAAAAACACATATCATCACCTCAGTCCCCCATCCCTGATTTAAAGCGTGGCGTTGGAGTGTTGATAATTGAGCTGCCATGTTTGCAGGGATGCTCTCATTTTTCTGAACCCTTCCCCCCCCCCCCCCCCCGTCATCTCAGAGTGACATCGGAGGCCAGCGGACTCTGCAGCGACGATGGACCACGTTTGCCAAAGCTCAGCTGCTGTGCCAAGCTGGCAGCGAGCTGCCTTACAACGTGATTCAGGACATGGACATGCTTCCACCAGCAGAGGGAGCTTCAGAGGATGACACACTGTTTTATGGCATCTTCACGTCCCAGTGGTCAGTGAGGAGTTTTTCTCTGTCTTTGAAGTGCTCTGTTAGGAACATAAGGAACAATCAGATCTCTGATATCAGATGGAGCTTGGCCATTTAAGGCTTTATATGTGAGAAGGAGGATTTTAAATTCTATTCTTGATTTAACAGGAAGCCAATGAAGAGAAGCCAGGATAGGAGAGATATGATCTCTCTTTTTAATTTTCATCAGAACTCTGGCTGCAGCATTTTGGATCAGCTGAAGGCTTTTAACTACAGTTTGTGGACTTCCTGATAGTAAAGAATTACAATAGTCCAGCCTTGAAGTAACAAATGCATGGACTAGTTTCTCAGCATCACCCCTGGACAGGAGATTTCTCATTTTTGCAATGTTCCTCAGATGAAAGAAGGAAATTCTAGAAACCTCTTTGATACGAGATTTAAAGGAAAGGTCCTGATCAGAAATAACACAAAGGATTTTGTTTGTGTCTCTATCATAATGCATTAATATAAGGTGTAGTTTCAGGCTGCTGTTTCCTGTGTCGGGTCATTTGTGTTGTTGCAGCAGTCCCTTCCTCTGTAGGGTTTTATTTCTATTATCGGTTGTTATCTCTGTGTTTAGTCATATACTAAACTACCTAACAGATACTAAAACAAATGAAAACTAAAACAGAAAATAATAAAAAAATCAGAAGTTGAAAGAAAATAAGAACTAATAAATTATTTCCACCTTGCTACTGACACCAGGTTTGTCTCATTTTTTATTTTAAAGGTTTTTTATTCATTTTGTCTGTTTTTGTTTTTGTTTTTTTTTTGTATATAATGTAGGGCTGTCAACAATGGACGGTCAGCGGTGTGTGCCTTCAGCCTGACTGAGATCAAATCCATTTTCTCTGGTAACTACAAGGTGCTGAACAGAGACACGCTGCAGTGGAGCACAAGGGTTCAAGACAAGGTTGCAAATCCAGGAGAGGTAAAACCGCTGCTCACCATAACCCCAGATTGTTACCACATTTATTCAACTAAAGGGTTTAAAGTGGCGTTTAGCTTCCAGCCTACTGGCCCCTTCAAGAGTTATGACGGCTAAAGAGAAAAGAATCCATGCACGCGCATCTAATGGCAGCGGCGGCTGGTGGAGTTTTCTCCGGGGGGGGGGCCATAAATTCAAAATAGACGTATACCAAAAGCCAATCAAACGTATACTACTATCACACCAGTGTATATATACACTGCCTGGCCAAAAAAAAAACACACAACCTGGATTCAACTAAGCAAATACGAAGCCTCCTATTGGATAATTACTGCATGGGCGATTATCTTTCAGCTGGAAACAAGTTATTTAACCCCAACTGGTGCAAAGACTTGCTTCTCATTTCCTAAACAACCATGTGGAAAGACAAATCATGTGTTAGTCTGTTTGAGAAGGGTCAAATCATTGGCATACAACAAGCAGGGAAAACATCTAAAGAGATTGCAGAAACTACTACAATTGGGTTAAGAACTGTCCAACGCATTATTAAAAACTGGAAGGATAGTGGGGACCCATCATCCTCAAGGAAGAAATGTGGCCGGAATAAAATCCTGAATCCTCGGCGATCACTTAAACGTGTGGTGAGATCAAATGGAAGAAAAACAACAGTAGAACTCAGGGCTATGTTTAATACTGAAAGTAAGAGCATTTCCACACGCACAATGCGAAGGGAACTCAAGGGATTGGGACTGAACAGCTTTGTAGCCCTAAGAAAACCACTAATCAGTGAGGCTAACTGGAAAAAAAGGCTTCAATTTGCTAGGGAGCATAAAGATTGGAGTGTGGAGCAATGGAAGAAGGTCATGTGGTCTGATGAGTCCAGATTGACCCTGTTCCAGAGTGATGGGCCAATCAGGGTAAGAAGAGAGGCAGGTGAAGTGATGCACCCACCATGCCTAGTGCCTACTGTACAAGCCTGTGGGGGCGGGGTTATGATCTGGGGCTCAAATAGTGAAAGACTGGTTCAGGGAGCATGACTCATCATTTTCACACCTGGATTGGCCACCACAGAGTCCAGACCTCAACCCCATTGAGAATCTTTGGGATGTGCTACAGAGGGCAGCGGTCAGACTCTACCAACATCAATGCAAGATCTTGGTGAACAGTTAATGCAACACTGGATGGAAATAAATCTTTGGACATTGCAGAAGCTTATCGAAACAATTCCACAGCGAATGCATGCTGAAATCAAAGCTAAAGGCCGTCCAACAAAGTATTAGAGTGAATGACCTTTTTTTTTTTTGGTGGCGACTTTTTTTTTGGCCAGGCATTGTATATGAATGCAAACAATGAAAACAAAACATCATTTACTGTACAGGTTTGCATTTCGTCCATAAATGTTGCTCTTCTAAGGCTTTGTGAAGGTAAATCTTGGTTCTGCATGCTCCAATATTGGGTCACAAACCTAAAAAAATAGTGAACCAGTTTAATAAGGGTAAAACTATTAGTCAGCTTTATATTTTTTTAATATATGAAAACTGTTTTCTGAAAGATTTTTTATTCAAGAGCATCTATGCAAATTAACAAACATCTAGAAAAAGTAGACTATATTATTTTATTTTCCAGATTGTTCATTCTTCTTGGCCTTTTCTAAAACGTGCTTCAAATCAGTCCTAGCTGTCTTTATCCATGCTGGCTCAGATCCTGATGTTTGAAAAAGGAGGCAGGGAAAGCAGAATAAAGCATTAGCCTTGCTGCTATGGAAGCAAATCGTTACCATATCTCAAATGAAAAAGCATTTTCAGAAATTCTTTTTCATTTTAAGAATCTGGCTGCATTGTTTGACTCATAAATGAAATTAGTAATCAATAATCCTGTTTGCATTTTCATTTTCTTCTTCAACACTGCTCATCCTTTTACTTAATTAAAATTAAAAAGAAAAAGACATTTGAGATTTATTTTTTAAAATGTACCTCAGCAAATACATACCAAAATTCAATTTGAAATGTAAAATTTGAAAATGAAAAAGCATTTCCAGAAATGCTGGCTGCATTGTTTGACTCATAAATGAAATTAGAAATCAATCGTCCTATTTCCATTTGCATTTTCTTCTTTAGCACTGCACTTTTATGCCATAATTAAAGAGAAAACACAGCGGACATTGCTTTTTCGTTTTCATGGTCTGCTTGCAAAGTACTGTCCATAACTCGAAAACGAAAAAGCATTCTGAGCGGCAGGGCAGCAGAGTGACGTCAGCAGCCGCTCTTCCTCAGGTCCTTGCTGACAGGTGTTATGCCCAAAAATGCATGCCTGCCGAGATATGCATCCCCACTCGCGGGAGCGCGCATCGCTCTGTTCAACTGCATATCGACGAGGAAAACTGATTAAAATACTCGAGCCTTCTTGCTAAACCAGGTTCAGGAAAAGGATGTTTCTTGCACCATTGCTCTCTCTCTCTCTCTCTCTCTCTCTCTCTCTCTCTCTCTCTCTCTCTCTCTCTCTCTCTCTCTCTCTCTCTCTCTCTTCAATGCATCTCCAAATCCCGCGACCCAACCTGTTAATCAACCACGAAACATCTGCGCGGTGGCGGGAGGTGGCGAGCAAATACACTTCCTGTGACCTCAGGTCACAGCTTGGCTGCGCCCCAAGCTCTCCTATACGTTTGTAATGCAGAGGAGCTACTGCGCATTTACAACTTTTAACGAGAGACTATGGCAAAGATTTTGGCGCCCCAGGGCGGAAATACGTCACCAATCCGACAAAAAATAATGACGCTTTATTAGTCATTTAAGATATAATATTTATCTTGCATACCTAACAAATATGTATTGATAGAATTTGAACTATTTAAAATTTGAAATTAAGTTATAAAAAAAAAAATATATTTTTTTTTTTTATGCTCAGGGTCATTGGGCGGTTGGAGCGGCACCCTAGCGCCCTCCAATGGCCAGCTGCCATTGATATAAAGGCCATTTAGACAGCATTCATGTTTTACACTATGGGAGGACGCTGGAATAAGAAACGTGCACAGACATGGGATGATGATGTCATTTTACTAACTGCGTGTGAAACCTTTGTGTGTGCGTCTGTCTGCATTAGTGCGGCCTGCACAACGCATCGGACAATGCTCTGCGCTTCGTCAAGGAGAATTTTCTGGCAGAAGACAGCGTGCGTCCGGTTGGAAGGCGTCCAACCATGGTGTCTGCAGAGCACGCCTACAGCCACCTGACTGTCCAGAGAGTCCAGGCGGCCAATAAGAAGCTGTACACCGTCCTCTTTCTGCTTACAGGTAAGCAGGCCGGCCAATGATTTTATTGATTTCATTTTCACTTCAATATCAAGCCTCTTTATTAACATCATATCAATCTCATTATTTAAGTGAAATTTCAATCTTTTAATTATTATTGTAGTTTTTATTATTATTCTAGTGGCCATAATTTTTTTGTTTGTTTTTGGAAAGTATTGAGACAGGAACTAGGATTAGAGAGAGTAGTAAGAAATACAGCAAGGGTCAGTAGACCGGGACTCGATTGCTTCATCAAGGACCGAAGCTTCTGCTCAAGGGTGGCGCAATTAACCCCTGCACCACCACCACCACCACCATGTCTTCAAAGAGATCTGGAAATATCCACAGATGGAAAGACCCTGCCCCATCGGTTCACGAGATCTTTGCATTTCAGCAGCGTTTCATACATATAAACAGGTTCTGTATTTATAATTGTAACATTGACCCGTTTGGCATTATCTACATTAAGTTGTCGAGCTTTATAACTGATTTCATGGCATTCTCTGTCAAAGATTAAGCATGCAAGTATAACAAATTATGATGTCTTCTCTCTCTGTCTTAATGCCAGAACACACCGGTTGAGTTTGATTTTTTTTAACCTCCGATACTTTTTTTTTTACATGTCACACTAACTGGGTATAGAGAGGCTCTGACTAGACAGGATGAGCAGATCAGTGCAGATTATTTTCACTTCTGTCTCTGTGCTATACATGCATTAAAACTATTTCCCACATTTACCTGGACCAGATTATGATTTATTGAAACAAAAACAAAAAACACCACAGGCACATTCTATAAAGCAAAGCTCTACTTAACGAGTCTGTGCAGCATCTAGAACCAGAACAGATAGATAATGTTAATCTGTTAAAAACATAATGAGATATACATCTAAAAAAAGAAAAAAGCAGCAATAAACGGCGTGGGACGGTTTCTATGGTGACAGAGAGGTGATTCTTAGAGAGATCTGGGAAGTTTCTCCAAGTTTTTCTTTCTTTTTTCCATAAAGAGGTGAGAGAGATACGCTGCGCTGACCTGCTCTGTCTGCTCCTTCTTATTTTTGGTTTCTGTTTTATGCTCCGTCACGTAACTCCTCCTCCACTGCACGGTGCCTGCGCCATCTTTATTAGTCGCCACTGTCAGGTAGCGACAGCATATGGTGACAGCGGGCCGCTGTGACTGCTAATCCTATAATGCTTTGTGAGGATAGCTCTCTGCGCAAAGCATTCTGGGATATATCTACCTCTATTGAGCCTTTCTTTTCTTCTCATCCGCTTCGTAGACACTTTTTCTCTAACGACCCTCGGCCATTTTCAAAGAACCGCGTTGAGAAAGCTGAGCTTCAATGACTGTCTGAAACCGTAGCTCATCACAGATATACGCGTGAAAGTGCGCAGGCTCAGAAAAAATATATCTAACGGAGCGAGCAGGTAGGACGGCCTTTCGTAAACATATCACCAGAATGATTGAGCGATGGGAGAACCAGTTACTTGGACGATCCACCTGGAAATGAAAGATCATCCTCTGTGCCTTTAAGGGAAGTTTCAAAGTAGAGATGTCCCGATCCAGGTTTTTGCACTTCCGATACCGATATTGTTTTTGGACTTCCGATCCGATACCGATACTGGCCGATACCAGCCTATCCGAGCATGTGTTTAAGTTTAAGTTAAAGTATTTAGCCTTAGTTGTACGACTCATGTTGAAAAGGGTTTTAGTACTCTTGATAACATCTAGCCAGCTGAATTAGGTGAGATTGAATAAAACACAATGCTTGGTAACAACAAACTTTCCTGTTTATTAAGAGATAAACACAAACTGGACAAAATTATGAAAAGCAATCTAATATTGCACAGTGAACAGTAAAACCGTAAACAGTTAAAGGTGCAAGTATTACTGTAAGTTTTAATAAAAATGCAAAACAGGGGAACACTGGCGCAAAATAGTGGAATGGATCGTTTCAATCGGCGAAACTGGAAAATACGGACCGTATTTTTTTTTAAAAACTGGATCGGCAGTCTGGATCAGCATTTTACATGCTTTGCCGATACGCATTTTTTTGCCAATATCGGCGTCCGACAAGCCTATTTCAAAGACACGAGATATTGAGATAACGTCAAATTGGCATCAATAAAATCCTTGACACACATCAAATTGATTCCAAGTTGATTTACGATTTTGACTAGAAGTGAGACGACAATTTGATATTATTGTTTGATGCTATATTGATGTTAAACTGATGCAACAGAGTCCTATTGGAAACCCGAGGTCAGATGTAGAGAGCATAAAATTACTTAGGAACAGAGTTATCAAAAGTGTTTATGTTTATTACTCAAGTAGAAATATAAATTCTACTGTTTAACAACACTTTGTAGAAATTAGAGCAGGGGTCACCAACATGGTGCCTCCGGGCACCTAGAGGCCCTCAGGGACCACATGTGGTGCCCACTGCATGCTCACCACTGAGCTAAGTTTATTTTATTCCGTTGCTCTTCTTTTTAAATCATTTATAGAGCATTTGATCATTTTAATCATTTAAGCATTTATAGATATTTCAAAATGACAATATCATAAGGAAAATTAGGAGTTAAAAGAACCAATAAAAGTATCCGAACGATGATCCTTTCCTGTTCATAGGTTAGTATAGGTGGCCCTTCCTATGAGTCGGTATCCATGAAGTAGCCCTCAGTCTTAAAAAGGTTGGCAACCCCTGTGTTAGACTACCCATTTAAGCTTTTTACTTCAGTAAAAGTGAAAAAGTTCCTTTTTTAAAAACTACTTGAAGTATAAAAGTAAAAGTGATGCAGGAAAAAATGTTAAGGCCAGAAGCTTTACTGCTCTACCCTATTAAAGGAAAATTTTTCTACAATTCTGGATGATAACTTCCTTAGACTTTATTCTCTTAGTTTTATAACTAATGGTAACAGTGTTGAATTTAACTTTGCATCATCTTGAAAAACTATTTATTTTGGTATGTCAGACATCCCAAGTTCCAAAAACTCATTTCAGGGAGATGCTTATCGAACCCTTTTAACCCCATTCCTTATGTCTTATATTGTAGGTTCTTCAAAATAGCCACATTTAGCTTTTACTGCTTCGCTCACTCTTGGCTTTCTATTGATGAGCTTCCAGAGGTCGTCACCTGAAATGGTTTTCTTCACAGGTGTCCGCTGTCAGGTTTAATAAGCGGGATTTCTTGCCTTATATATAAAGATACCAGGTGGATACAAGGCTGATAGTCCTACTGAATAGACTGTTAGAATTTGGATTATGGCAAGAAAAAGCAGCTAAGTAAAGAAGAATAAGTGGCCATTATTACTGTAAGAAATTAAGGTCAGTCGGTCTGTAAAATTGGGTAAACTTTGAAATCGTCCCCAAATGCAGTCGCAAAAACCATCAAGCGCTTCAAAGAAACTGGCTCACATCAGGACCGCCCCAGGAAAGGAACACCAAGAGTCACTTCTGCTGCGGAGGAGAAGTTTATCCGAGTCACCAGCCTCAGAAATGGCAGGTTAACAGCAGCTCAGATTAGAGAGCAGGTCAATGCCACAGAGTTCTAGCAGTGGACGCATCTCTAGAACAACTGTTAAAGCTACAGTAATAATTACAGGGATATACAGTCAGAAATGTAATATATTATACATAACTATGTTATTTATCATCATCTACGAGCTCAGCCTCTTAACCTTAATATTTGCGTTGCCTTAGAATTCGTTATTTATAATTACATAGGAGCGGGTCTCGCAGCCATGGAGGCAGACATCTTTGCGCTACGGCAGCGCAGAGCCAACAAACTAGCGATTGCGAGATCGCCCATTACGCTCGAAAGTAACTACGGCAAGTTGAGAGAGATGAACTGAGACGGTACTGAAATCTATACCCTACACAGACTAATGAAATACTATCTGTAAAATTATCTATGTAAACAAACCTCATCACTTGAGAAGGTAGGTGATGTGGACGTCGTGGAAGACATTTTGTCCCGTAACGCTCGCCGTACTGTTGGGGGGGAGAAACGGTGGGGGGGAGATGTTCATGTTGCTGCGGTCTGCAGTCTGGACGTTAGATGTCGCTGAAAATTACACACTGTAGCTTTAAGAGGAGACTGTGTGAATCAGGCCTTCATGGTAAAACAGCTGCTAGGAAACCACTGCTAAGGACAGGCAACAAGCAGAGGAGGCTAGCTTGGGCTGAAGAACACGAGGAATTAGACCAGTGGAAATCTGTGCTTTGGTCTGATGAGTCCAAATTTGAGATCTTTGGTTCCAACCATTGTGTATTTGTACGAAGCAGAAAAGGTGAACGGATGGATTCTACATGCCTGGTTCCCACCGTGAAGCATGGAGGAGGAGGTATGATGGTGTGGGGGTGCCTTGCTGGTGACACTGTTGGGGATTTATTCAGAACTGAAGGCATACTGACCCAGCATGGCTACCACAGCATGTTGCAGCGGCATGCTGGTTTGCCTTTAGTTGGACCATCATTTATTTTTCAGCAAGAAAATGACCCCAGACACACCTCCAGGCTGTGGAAGGGATATTTGACCAAGAAGGTCAGTTGATCTGGACCGCAGAGTGAAGGCTAAATGGCCGACAAGTGCTAAGCATCTCTGGGAACTCCTTCAAAACTCTTGGAAGATCATTTTAGGTGACGGCCTCTGGAAGCTCATCAATAGAATGCCAAGAGTGAGCAAAGCAGTAATCAAAGCTAAAGGTGGCTACTTTGAAGAACCTAGAATATTAGACATATTTTCAGTTGTTTCACACTTTTTTGTCAAGTATATAATTCCACGTGTTAATTCATAGTTTTGACGCCTTCAGTGTGAATCTTCAACTCTTTGAACGAGAAGGTGTGTCCAAACTTTTAATCTGTACTGTAAGTGTACTTCGTTACTTGACACCTCTGGTGAGGAGTTTTCTCTTCCAGATCTTTTTCTGCCTCGAGTAAAATGTTGTTCATGTCATGTTGTACATAGTTATCATCATCTTCATCGATTTTTCTTGGTTTGTGCTCCTGGATGTTGTCTGGGAAGTTGAACTGTGTTGGGTTTGTTAGGCTGTCATGAAAAGCGTGCGCCTTACTGTCTTTCAGAGTCCGGTCATTTACACAAAGCAGTGCTCCTCCAGCATGGACCCTTCATCATCGAGGAGCTCCAGGTTTATCAGCCTCCTCAGGCCATCAGGAGCCTGAAGCTGTCCGTTCCAAAGGTGCAGACTGGAACAGATGTCCTTATTTCTGTGTTCAGTTTTGGTTTGACTACATCTTCATTAACATCCTGTATTCTTTGTTCAGTGAGCTAACTTACCTGCAGGGTTCCCTGCAGACATGGACTTTTAGCATCAGTAATGATGCTGGTTATTTTGTCTACCCTCATTACATAATTTTCTCACAACTCTTAACCAAACCCACAGTCTCTCAGGAAATCAAATAGGCATTCAATAGCTGGGTGGGGGGGATTTACCATTAGGCAATACTGCAATAGTGCAGCTGCCTAGGGCCCCAAGTTCCTGAGGGCCATATAACACTGCGTTTACATGACTAGTTAATGAAACTAGCCCTTATTTTATCACAAAAACATAATAAATTTGCACAAATGCCATCAGACCACTTATAATATTAAAGGAATAGTACACCCAAAACATGATTAGCCTTCATTTTCTACTCACCTCCATGCTGAACAACACTCTGGAGTACTTTTTTGATATCTCAAATGCATCTGGAGATCTGGGAGGCTTCTTGCTGTCTGCTGACATTCAATTAATGGAGGTCTATGGCGCCCGAGGCAGAAAGGTCCATAAAAGTCCACAAAAAACGTGTCAATATTCCTCCATACTGCTCGTCCAATGTATTCCAAGTGTCCTGAGTGGGTAGCGTCCAGAATTTACTCAAAACGAAGTCATTTAGAATATTTTTAGAGCATAAACAGTAGTGTATAGGATTTCCTGAAAGCTCGTTCACGAGTCTACGGAAACCCTGGCAGACCAAACCAGATGAAAGTGCGCATTCAGCTCGGCAAAGAACTCATGCTCTTCCTCAACACTGAAGTCCTCAGACATTTTTCTTTCGTTGTTTCTTTCTTTGCACAGGTAAACAGCACATTTCTTCTTCTACGCTTGCATTATCGGCAGAGCAGACGCTGAATGCGCACTTTCATATGGTTTGGTCTGCCGCGGTTTCCGTAGACTCGTGAACGCGCTTTCAGGAAATCCTATACACTACTGTTTATGCTCTAAAAACATTCTAAATGACTTCGTTTCGAGTAAATTATGGACGCTACCCACTCAGGACACTTGGAATACATTGGACGAGCAGTATGGAGGAATATTGACACGTTTTTTGTGGACTTTTATGGACCTTTCTGCCTCGGGCGCCATAGACCTCCATTATTTGAATGTCAGCAGACAGCAAGTAGCCTCCCAGATCTCCAGATGCATTTGAGATATCAAAAAAGTACTCCAGAGTGTTGTTCAGCATGGGGGTGAGTAGAAAATGAAGGCTAATCATGTTTTGGGTGTACTATTCCTTTAAGTGTGTCTCCCCCACACCGTTCAGTGTCCACCATATTGGATCAGTCCATTGGAGACAACATCTAAAAGCAGCGAACTCTGCTCTCCAGAGCGAGTAGATTGGTAACCCCGCCTCCTGCTCTCCTCTATCTTGTCTGCTGTCATGATTCATGCAGCTATTATTTCATCCAAATGAAAAATGGAGAACAGAGAAGCAGATCATGGCTTGTCTACAGTGAAAAGAAGGACTGGGTTATTTACTTTGGCCTTTTTGGAAACACAGGAAGGAGCAATCAGCTAAGTGAGCTTAGTGCTTGGAAAAAATCTTTCATTCCTTTAGAGACAGCATGAAAAGTCAGCTGAGTACAAAACATAGAGAGGAAAACAAGAAGAAAAGGGACAAGAAGAGAGGGACACAACCTAGAACAGATCATGGATGTCTGTTCTATTAACATTTCTCTATCTGTAGAATGGGGCTGTTTTATGAGTTGCTTCTTAATTCAGAGGGCCCCCTGCCTGTCTTTGCCTAGGGCCCCAAATTCCTCAAATCCACCCCTGCAAATAACAAATGTCTTTTTAGTGACCCTGAGAAGATAACATTGAACAGTGCAGCTAAGGAACATGTTCTCACCTTTAGACACTTGAACCTGAAGCCAACCTGCAGCTCTTTACACGATAAGGCGTTGAATCCACAGCAGTTTCCAGGAAAATGCAGGAATGATGTTAAAACTGCTCCATGGACATCCCTGACGGAATGCTGGTTGTGTTAATGCAGGGTATGGTGTACGTCGGCACGTCGGAGGGGGTGGTGAGGATTCCAACCGCTAACTGTTCGTACTACTGGACCTGTGCCCAGTGCGTTCTCTCCCGGGACCCTTTCTGTGGTTGGGACCCTGTGGGCAGGGCCTGTGTGGAGGTTTCTGAGACCCAAACCGCTCTGTGAGTATCACACTGCCAGACTGGAGCTGTTCTAACATTTTTCAGTGAAACCGTCTCAGCAATGCTTGGATGATTGTTTTTATCTATTACTGTTTCGTTAAAAGGAAATCTGAGAACTAGAGACTACAGCTGGATTATATAAATCCCATAGCTGTATATTGGTTATTTATTCTCCAGGTGCACCGTTTTTATATTGTTAAAACACTTCACAGTACAGGATTTTATTGTTTATCTTTTAACTCTTCATTATTAGCTGCACTCGAAGCTGAATATAAAACTTCTCCACTCTCTTTCATGATAACTAACTGTGATTTTCCCTCATTAGGAGCCAGGACATAGATGGAGCGAATGTCGAGGAAGCCTGTAACAGCATTTCATTGACGCACAGAGGCAAATTTGGGCCAAGCAAGCTGCCCACAGGTAAGTGTTGCTCACCTGGAACGCCTTTCTTAGCTGAGGATACATTCTGTGTCATGTTGCCTCTTTGCTTTGGAGATGTGGTCACTTACATTTTATTTGAGAGGATAAAAAAAAATTAAATAATATTTATAGTACTTATAATATATTGTACCAAATACTATATGAATATGTTAAAAAAAAAGTAATACTAGCCATTGAGTGCAACGTAGGACATCAGCACACCACGCAAGTCACTTCTGATCTAACAAGCAGAACCAACTCTGTTTACGTTGATAATCATGGAGCATTTCGCCCTGGCTTTCTTAAACCAGGCATCACTGTACACATTATTTTTTTCAGTCATCACATGCAGCTACAGCTCACTTTGTATGACGAAACGCGCTGCCTTGGCCATTTGTGCAATTTTGTGCTGAAAGCCCTAAAAAGAAAAGGCGACGACGTATTTGGACGAAGACATGGCTGAGCAAACGTGGCTACTTCGGTCTGACAGAAAGGACTCCATTTAACTCATTGCACCCCTGCCATGCTGCTGGGTTTTCCTCTGAGAGGAAGAAGAATCCTTGTTTGCCCACTAAGCAATTTGCCCACAACCACCTTACAAAGGCCGACAGTGTCCTGTCTGGCACTGTGGCAATAAGAATAATTGTCTTGCTGCCAAAAAGAGCCCAACAGATTTTACTTTCACAAGTGGAGCAGTACGGCTATCGCCATCGTGTTCCGCTTGGTTTATGCATATAAATTGCTTTATTATAAATCATGCAGGAAGTATTACAGATTATATGGACACTGCAATGTAAGTAGAACAGGAAAGGAAAAAAAGGAGAAAAGATAAAAGAAAGAGGAGATAAAAGGGAGATAATGATAAAACATTTTCAGTCTGCTTCATCACTTGCAAAGAGATGGAAAAAGAACAGCATGGTACGAGACATAAAATAAAGTAACACCTTGATAATATTGCTGAAGTATAAGTAGTATTATTTAATCTGACATGTATACTGTGGTAGCTGAAGATAACAATATGGGCTTTCTATATGGAAGTGAATCTCTGAGTACCTGGAGCTAAGAGCCTGTAGTTGTTTGTGAGGGTGCACTTGTGCATATAAAGTTTATTCAAAGGAAAAATGAGAGAGCCCCACTGGGGGGGAGCACCACCATAGCCCGGGGGCCAGGGACCGGCGGCAGGACCCACAAGCCAGCCGGCCACAGGGCCGCCACCCCACCCACCCTGGCCAGCCAGCCCCCACACACTATGCAGAACCCCCACCCCGGATGAAGCCCCCACCAGGGGACGGCATGAACCAGGACCGAGACAGGGAGCCAGACTCGAAGCCCTTCTAAAACCCTCTTCCCTCCATCACCACCCCCCGCCCCCCCTCCGGAGGCCGAGATCATTCCCACTCCCCCTCCCTCCCCTTCCCCCACTAGCAGAGTGCAAACCCCTGAAGGGGTAAGCATCTGCCATAGGTGTTAATGTCCGTACCTTTATTTTTGTTAATGCCATATTGCAAATTTAATCTAACAAATGTGATAAACTCCCTTCCTTCAAATAAATGATCCAGATAGTTAATACCTTTATTCTTCCAGTACGGAAAGTTTATCACATTATTGTTTTGTAGAAAGTCAGGGTTATTCCAGATGGGCGTACGACTGCACGGTAAAAGTGATGACTTCATTATTTTAAGAAATTCCTACCATGCTGTCAGGGAAGAGCTGATGTTAATATTTTTAAAACATGAATGCTACTTGAGCTTAGAGCTAACAAACGGCAAATCTGAAATTATGATATTACTGCATATTTCCTGTTCTGTGTCTATCCAGGGTTCATCTAAGGGATTAGGTTTTATCCAGTTTTGGAAGGTTGGTAAATTTAGTCCCCCTCTGTCTTTAGTTTTCTGTAGTGTCTTTACGCTGATACGAGGGGGTTCATCCTTCAAAAGAAGTGAATTTAAAACATGTTTGATTTTATCCTGACATTACCGTTCCTGATGGGGAGGTGGTTGTTAGAGGCTGATCGCCCCTCGTTACCCCCCGGTACACTACACCATGCACCATCAGGCTGAAAGTCGGCCCCATCGAAAAATTCTTGCATCACTGGAAAATATGCCTTTAAAGGGCAAAACATTGTACGGTGTATGCCTGACTTTACATGTTGCTCTCCATTGTTTACTTTCCTGATTTCTGTCGCACTGATGACATCAGCGCTAACCCAGCGTAATAGTGTCACCAGGCGAGGGGTTAGACCCAGCTTTTTTTGCCAATGGGAAGAGAGCCAAATGCCGATTCGACCCATGTTTGAAAAACATTAGTAGCCATGTTCTCTGTGTTTCAGCCTCGTGTCCCGCAGGCGAGCTGGTGTCCGTGTCTCTGAATGAAGTGGTTCGGCTGCACTGTCCTGCTGCTTCGCAGCTGTCCCAGCAGCTGTGGGAGCGACCAAACAGCCGGCTGTCCTCAGACCTCTACCTCCACCTGAAGGACGGCAGTCTCAGCTTCGTGGCCACCCCAGCCACGCTGGGCCACTACCTCTGCCTGTCCACAGAGAATGGCTACCGACAGACCATGGCCATTTATCGAGTCAAGCAGAGGAGCAATCCTGTGTCTCAGACCCCGACCGGCTACACCCGGCTTCACACGCGAGGCCAGCCCACCACTCAGGCTGCAGCCACACCTGGACTGCAAGTTTCTGTCGGGGGGGGGCCTAAAACAACAGCATCCAGACCGGCTGAGACTAAAACCTCGCTGTCCGTCAGGAACAGTCAGGTCACCACGAAACAGCTCGGCAGAAATGTCACTTTGTGGATGGAGGAATCTGGACAAACGGAAGCGGGGATCCCCGGTGGGAAACCCGTGCACTCGGCTCGCTGCACCAGCTTCCTGAAGGAGCTGGTGGTTGTGTCCATTCTGCTGGTTCTGTGCCTCAGTCTGCTCCTCACCATCACTCTGTATGTTCTTCGACAACGCTGCCGCAGAAGAACTGCTCCTGTAACAGGAAGTGTAAGCAGGAACTCTGAGAGGAGGACGCCTGAGGAGCAGGAGGCCCTCAGGGAAAATGAGTTTGGGAGCAAACACAATGGCCAGGCACCTCTGGGTGGACATGCCAGTGGGCTGGTTTGTAATGGGAATCTTACAGACTCTACACAGAATTTGCCAAACACCCCCTTCTGAGCCAGACTTAAAATCACACCGGAAATCTTCCTATGGAACCAAAGCAGATCTAATTTTATTAATTCTCCACATTTCAAGCTGTTCTGAAATCTAGGAAGAACTGTGCTGACCAATGCAAAAACCATCTACAAATAAGTTTTAAAAAATTCAAAATCTCCCCTTTATTTCGGCAGATTAATAAAAGTATTTGCCAATGGAAGTATAAGTATTTTTACTCTTTAAATACGGTAGCAGCTGTCCAAAATGGTCCTTCATAGTCAAACGGCAGACGAATGGAAGCCCACTTCCTGCCACAGGAGTGACCCCCCCTCCTTCTCCTGGGCGTGCATATTTTTTTACGAGGGCCCATCAAGGAAAGTGGTGAAATTTTGAATGGCTACTACTGTAAGAGCGTTAGATAATATGCACCAGAGAATGTGAACGGAGCGGAGCAGCGCGCAAGACTTTTAGACTTTAGACTTTTATTTGTCCCCAAGGGGAGATTCTTTTCCACATACACAGAGCTCGTTTACACGAAGACACAGTAAACACCAACACCAGCACAAGTACAAGACGCGATACGAGACATGATACACTCAACGGGGCCTTTTGTTTAAAAAGGTGATGGCTGAAGGGATCAGGCTCCTGCCAAAACGGGCCCTTCTACACCTGAGTGTACCTCCGTCCAGAGGGCAGGGGTATGAGGTCCTGTAGTGGGTGAGTGGGGTCCCGTTCTATGGAGAGTGAAAAGCATCCGATGGCCTGTTGATTTGCGTCTGTGAGGTTGGGTGTTGGGAGTCCAATGATTTTTAGCAGCTGTGTGTGTGACCTTTGTGAGTAGGGGTGTAAATAATAATCGTTTTGTATCGATGCATCGATCCAACAGCCGACGATCCGATGCATCGACACGTCCGCAAGATAATCGATTCATGTTTTTTTTCCTCTGGTCTATTTTTATCCATTTGCTCCTGGGCGTAATTCTACCTCCCGTGCTGTGGTGGCGCTAAACCTATTTTGCCCTCCTACCTCGCTTCCTGGTTATACTCTTACAGCAGTGTGTTGCAGTGAGCTTGATGCAGACATTTTTAAATTATGCTTAATATTGAAGCGTGGTCTGAGCTACACGCTGTGGGTCTAGATACGGCCGAGGCGGCAAGGAAGTGGGGGCCGTCCGACGACGGAGGGACATGAGGGCCAAAAAGAGCGAAGATCCAGGTGGAAAAAGGCTCCCAGCGTTCTCACGCACCTCGCTCTTCTAGCGGGTCAAACTTCACGAGTTGTTTTCCGCAATTTCGGTCATAAAAACAAAACAAGCCGGCCTCCTGTCTGCTGCACTGTCTGCGGTCAGCTACGATTAGGGAGAGGAGCAGCGGAGCGTCTCTCAAGGGGGCGGGGCCGTCTGGAGCCGAGGTATTGCATTGCACTCATTGCACTGATTATGTGCAGTATTTTTTGCAGTATTTTTTGATGCAACTTTTCTACTTCTGTTATTTGCTGTTGTTTCTAAAAAAAAAAAAAAAAAAAAAAAGCATAACGATATTACAGCTTTCATTGATTTATTTCAAACTTGAAACTTTGTTTAGCCTGTAAGGTGTAAAAAAAAATAATAAAAAATTAACCGATTAATCGAATCGAATCGTGGTGTATTCTAGAGTATCGAAAATAATCGAATCGTTGGGTCAGGAAATCGATGCTGAATCGAATCGCCATGATGGATGTGATTTACACCCCTATTTGTGAGTTTGGTTTTGTTTTTCACAGTGAGAAGATTAAAGAAACAAGTAGAACAGGATGGGCTGAATAATTGATTTGTACAGAAGTAATAACAGATGTGGTGAAACATAGAGTCCTTTGAGTTTCCGGATTATGGAAAGTCGTTGTTGACTTCTTTTATGAATGTCTGTGATGTGATGTTCAAATGTGAAGCTGATATTTGAAGCTGTTCACAGTTTCCACTGATTGATCGATGTTCGCTCATTCTCTACGCCGCTCAAGGTTGCGCCAGGATGCCAGAGCGCTGGGACACACGGCGTTTGATTTAATGATGTGACCGATACATGTGGATTGTCTTATTTAACAGGCTGTTAAATTATCCCAGCTGTGAGCATAACACCTCGCTCCATTCATCTTGTTCCATGTTTCCTATTCAATTATTAACTTATTTTATTAGACTTAAATGTTATTTTACAAATTTTATAATCCAACATTTTTAATTGACGTTGTGAGCGCATCGGAGCGAACTGGAGTGGTGCGAAACCTTCGCTCCGGCCTTTGAATTGAAAACGCTCTGCGCTCCGCCATATTTCTTCCTCTCCGCTCTGCTCACATGCTCTGATATGCAATTGGAATAAGACAATGCAATTGTTTTCTTATTTTAAATGTAAATTGTCTTGCTTCATTGACAAAATGTCTCACTTATTCCTCAATTTAAGAAAAAGTACTTATTTGCATTTTTTGTAGTGATCTGCTGGGTAAATGGAGCTTCCCGTTTCCATGCTGCTCCACGTGTCACAGATGTGCCTTTAGAACATGTCTTGCTGGAGTTGATGTTACACTGTTGTCTGATGATTTTTGGTAGACTGTTTTTTAAATTGTGGTTAATTAAAAGCAGCCATGATGACTCCTTCATTCCACATGTTTACCTCCTCCTCAATAAAACAGTTTCTCTGTCATAGGGTTCATTTTTGTAGCCTCCAGGGGATTATGTGCAACAATTTCAGCATAATTTTTGGATAAACATTCTTATGTTTCCTTGGTGCAACAACGTCTAAATGAATGTTTTAACAACTGGTAAAAACTAATCAAACCAACTGTCCAAGTTGGTGGTCTCACAATAATGGGCTCTCTGCACAACCTCACTACTTCCTGAACTTATGGCGGCTGCTGTTACTAGATGAACTGATTAATCCAGGTGTCTCTGGTCATTGTTGTCATGGTTACTGAGGTTACACATACCGGGATTTATCATTTTATCCAGTAGAGAAAGACGGGAAACAAAGGAGCTGCCTTAAGTTTAGGAAGCATTGAAGCATAGAGTCCTTTGCCCTGATAGGACCACGTCTAATATTTGATTGTTCAAACATATATCATTAAGTGCCTTGAGATGACATGTGTTGTGAATTGGCGCTATATAAATAAACTAAACTGAAATGAATCATTCAGTTTTATCTAAGTTTATTAATGTGGCACCAAGTCACAACATATCAATGTACTATAAGACCTGTAATTCCAATTTTGCATACAGAAATGGTATAAAAACATTAAATGTAAACTACATGTTTATTTCTCAAGGTTCACAATCCAATAGATTCTAAATTGGTTAAATAAAACTTTACATCTCTCCTTCCATCCAATCATACTAGGTGTCTTTTATTAAATGCATACAATATGTATTAAATCATGCATCTAAATGGTGGTTTTGGTATATGCATCTCACAGCATCAGATCCCAGCAATCATTGTTTTATTTTCTGCAATCAACATTTGGTGGCCGAGTGGTTCAGGCATTGCGCTTTGAATCCTGAAGTTCTGAGTTAAAGCCCCACTCCCCTTAACCCCACACTGCTCCCCGGGCGCCGCACTATGGCAGCCTACTGCTCCCCAAGGGGATGGGTTAAATGCAGAGAGCTGCTGGGGGAAAAAAACAGGTTGTGATGAAGACATGAATCACCATCTCAAACTGATGGAATATAATATAGTGGTCCACCCTGGACAGGTCGCCAGTCCATCGCAGGGCAACACAGAGACAAACAGGACAAACAACCATTCACACACTTAAGGAGAATTTTAGAAAAGCCAATTAACCTAACTCCACTGGACTTGGTTTTCAAGATTTGAAGGCGTTTCGCCACCTCTCCAGGAAGCTTTCTCAATTCAAATGTCTGCATCCACAGTGAGTTTGAGTCTTATATAGACAAAGCCTTGTATTGCTTGGAAACATGCAAATGGTAACCGATGAATGGGTCGTTTGGTTCGATTGTTAGCCTGTAATATCTGAACCTGTCTATGAGTCGGTCCTTCAGAATCAAACGTCTTCAAATCTTGGAAACCAAGTCCAGTGGATTTTTATTTTTACTTTTACGGAATGACTATGACCTGGATGACTGAGAATCTTCATCAGCAATTAACCTAACAGTCATGTTTTTGGACTGTGGGAGGAAGCCAGGGTACCCGGAGAAAACCCACGCATGCTCAGGGAGAACATACAAACTCCATGCAGAAAGACCCTGGGCCGGGAATCGAACCCAAAACCTTCTTGCTTCAAGGCAGCAGTGCTTGAACCAAAAAATCTGATAAAATAGAGAACTCAAGGGGAAGCCTCTCCAGATGGCCTGGGAGTCCTAAGTCAATAAAGGAGCTCAGAGGGAATCAAACCCAGAACCTTCTTGCTGCAGTGCTACCCACTGGGTCACTGAGCAGCCTGTTTCCTGCCGGTCTTTATCAATAAAGAGACTTATCAGTATATCTTACTATTGTGACTGTTTAGCAGATTTACTTGTTAAACTACAGTTTAGGGGGGAAAAAATCATGTCATCTTAGGTAACTTTACAGAGAAAATGCGATCAAATTATCCACGCAGATTTTTATTCCAAGTTTCTATCAAAGGAAATCCAGCAGACTGCATCAAGTCATTGAGTTTGGAGGAAGCCTTCTCCTGAGACCACTGCTCTAAGCAATCCCTCACACCGAGCATGTATGCAGCAACAGGGGAGAGGAAATACTCCCTTTGAACAGGACGGAACCTCCTGTAGAATGAGGTCTGCCAAGGTCAAATTGGGGTTGAAGAAGCAGAAGTAAAAAACAAAGATTTCCCTTAAACTTTATAGCTGTTGGCCTACTCAATCATCTCCTTTTGCATTACACAGTGTACCCTTTAAAAAGAAGGTTATCATTAAAACCAGAATGTCTCATAGTGCTAACCTGACTCCGCCAGATGGATTTGCTCCGCATATCCATCTAGAAACCTTCCGTTGAAGTAATTTTGGGAAGGGGCGAAAATACTGGTTAGCTGATTGGCCTATGTTGGTGATAGACGGGCCAAATAAACCAATCAGATCAACGAAGCATATGACGTACTAACAGAGCGACGACGAAGAGGAGCCAATTGATAGATCAAACTCTTGCCGAAACCAGTCGGGAGAAGAGCAAAAACATCTTTTCCTCTGAGAAAAGCCTCCAGAGCAGTGTTTTGCTCTTCTTTCAGTGAAGAAATACTCTGTAATTCCAATAAAACTTGCTCGATAGCCACGCTAACGCTAGTTTCATCGGCTGAAGCCGCCA